GCAAGAGAGGAATCAGTCAGGAGCTATTAACAGTTTAATTGATACGCTTTTATGATTTGTATTATTATTATTTTATTATTTAAATAGCGCCATAGCGCTGTACAATGGGTGGATAAACATACATGTAAATGTAACCAGACAACTGGACGTACAGGAACATTTTGGGTGAGGGCCCTGCTCCATGAGCTTATTGAGTTAGTATTGAGATAGTATTGAGATAGCTCTTCAAAATCAGCAAACTTGATTGTGCATACCTTGCCAGCAATAAGGTTCCTTAAGTACAGTTATGTTACCCCTACAATGGGCCCACTATGATTGCTTAAGTTGCAACCCTCCTTGGAGAAATGTCAGCACCCAGCTAATCTAAAATTGTCCATCTGAGGTGGTTACCACCTGCACACACCTCCCCTCCACCCCCATAGCTCAGGGAAACAGAGCTCCAACACAGTCAGTGCCCTGACACACAACAACACGACCACATTGTAATACCTAAAAGCAAAACACATTGTTACACTTTACATATCATTTACCATTATTTTCCCCGAACGCACCAGCTCAAACCAGCATTTGTTGTAACAATTACTATAGGATATTTTGTATCTACCTGGAACAGCGAATGCAGTAAAAGTTCCAGGCTTTTGAGAATTGTCTCTAACACAATTATTAGCCCACCAAAGCATAGAATGACACAATTCAGCTTCTACACCTCTATGCCATCCCACATACATCCGAGTATTTACTGTTTACTGACATAACATGAAGGCTTTAGTTTTAATTCTGTTTATTACCTATGTTTGCAAAATATAAATGAAAAATGTGCAAGGTACTTTATGCCACACTAATGTACTCATATGTCTAAAAATCTGATTGCACCAGCTGTGGCGAAGCAAATCTGCTTGTTTACCATATGCACAAATAAAATAAAGAATAAATAAAAAAAATTAAAAAAGACAATTAAAATCAGCAAACTTGGATTTTGCCAAACACTGAAATACTTTCTTATGTTTTGCAATGACATTGCTTGGAAATGTGAGGCACATTCCCGGCACTTTAAGGCTTAAGAAGGCGTTGCCGTAAGAAAGCATTTGTTTAGTACACAGCCCCATAGCTATTTGAACACGTGTCTTGAACCTGGTGATTACATTGTAAGTCTGCATGCTTAATTCTGCTGCAGGCCATCAATAATACAAAATCATGTGTATAATTAATAGAGAGCTACAAATAATACATAGACTCATCAAAAAAAGTAAAAAAGAAAACACCTGTTACAAAAAAATGTAATTACTTTAAAGTGTATAGAATAATTCCAGTGTGGTTTTAAAAAATAAAATAGCTAGAATGTGTGTAATGCACTTGTTAAGATTATGTAACAGAAAATGTATCAGTTGTGCTTTCTAAGGAAATCCTTAAAGGGACACTATAGTTACCAGAACCGCTACAGCTTAATGTAGTGGTTCTTGTGTCTATAGCACGTCCTTGTAGGCTGAGCATATGTAAACGCTACATTTCCAGCGCGATCGGAGGGGGGCCGGTTACCTAAACAGCCACATCACATTTATATTCCTAATGCCACAGTGTTTCTTTATCTCATCATGCGTGACATCTATGGACTGTTATACTAACAATGGATTTAAATAAACCTCATCCTGAAAGGGTTATGTTTATTTATCCAAGGCTTCTTGAAAACTAAACCCCCCCCCCACACCCCATTTTACATTTCAGCAGAAGACATTCTCTAGATTTTTCTAGAGTGGACAAGATTGTTTGAGTTGAACACTTTCACCTGCTGCACACATAACCTGTTTTTTCACAATTCTTAGTATGATTAGTCACTGTACATTGCTTCTAATGATGTTGGTGCTTTATGAATAAAATAAACTAATAAAACACAACAGACTAACCAAATAATGTAAGACTGGATTCCAAATACTACATTTTAATTCACTTTTTAAAAAAATTGGTTTTCTTATGTTTTTAAAATTACTCTAATAAAAAGTTCCCAAAGAAATACTAATTATACATATGTGCTCTCTCTACATATGATTGTGGTTCATGTTATATACTTAGCAGCTATTAGCACAGAGATTAAGCTCGGCTCACAGAGAAAGCACTCTGTCAATATTTCCATTTTGGAAACTGTGACGACACACTCTAATAAAGGCCAGATCTATAACGGGGAAACCAATTATGTAGCTGCCCTGATTGCGAGACAAGTCATAGGAATTATTTTGAAGAAAAACATTTTTTTTATACCTTTGTTATATGTTATTCATTCATGTCATGCTGTGCTTATTATATATATTTATAATGAGCAGAGGAATGGTGTTCTCCAATAATTAAAGACACACTTTAATGTTAAAGGAACACTGCATGTTTTTTTTTTCTTGGTTCTGTATGTTTTCTTTGAGAGTATATGAAAAACATCTTGCAAAAGCTGCAGATCTGCTGTCTGCAGCCTTTGCAAATCCTCGACTTTCAGTCCGTGACAGCTGATTGGCCAATCAGAGGCTTCTTATTTTGGGTTTGCAGCTTTACTGTGCAGTACAGCTCATTGAGAAGGGGGAAGGCTGGTGGAGCTCTAACCTTTGGATCTGTGATTCTAATGGTAGAGGCTCTCTGACAGCTGGCGAGTTTTATGAGTTGTGGCTACTATTATTACGTTTGTTTTCTATTTAAATTAGCACTTTTATAAACTGTCAAAAATGACAGACTACAGAAACATAACATTTTAGAAAGCTGAAGTACTTTTTGTGTTAATTTAAAAATAAATATATTAATTTTCAATATCATAGTTTTCCTGTTAGTGTTTAGCTTACCGGGCCCCCAAATGTTTTGAAAAATAATCTTTAAAATCTCTGTGAAATTTACCTTAATTCTAGCGCTGAGACAGTCTGCTTGGTGTAGTCACTCTGCCACCAACGAAGTTATGATGAGTTCTGTCTAGTCCAATGCGATTTGAGAAGAATAGGGGACTTCGGGAGAATGTGCAGCAATCGCTGTGATTCGACAATCAAATGACTCTCCTAGAAAAAAAATAGAACTCAGTGTTTAACTACGATAAGTATTAGACTTGTTCAACATAATCATTCTGGGCGGGACGACACTGAATGTGAAAACCGTAATTTTTCAAAGGTTTTAAAGAGGATGATCCTCTAGTCGCTGTCAGTATGATGTGTGGTTTTGGACAAAAACATTATAATTTTACATTGTGTGCAAAAAAAGGACAGCACCAATGTACCTGAACCACTTCATTAAGTGCATAGATGGATGGATGGATGGATGATTGATAGACAGACAGATGGACAGATGCTGAGAAACCCAGGATGGCATGTAATGTTTCTGTTTTATTGACACAACAAATAAGAAACACAGACATACAAAATTAACACATGCGCTCAAATTCCCACTACTCCTGGGCAGCAGCAATGACTATAGCAGACATCAGCCCCAATACATACAATAAATACAAAGGAAAAATATTACTTGCGCGCTATCCAGAATCCCTTTGTACATTTAAATAACTGGAGTTATTTTTTAATATCACTTCAATAGCTATTAAAGGGTAAACTCACCTCCCACGTCAAGGTGAGTCCTACACCAACAATTCACCTTGCTGCTTTCAGCTAAAAGGTAAAATCTATGCAGACAGAGATTACAAATAAATAGTAATATTTCAAACGTAATGAACTATTGTCTTTACCAACTAACTAGTAGTTGTGATTTGCTCACACAATGGAAGGCTCTGCAGGGAAACTACAAATGGTTGTTGTAACAGTGTCATAGTTTATATGGTATAACGGTCATGCCGGCGGGTAGCTGTCAAGATTGCTAATAAGGATTATTCTTTTGAGGGGATAATCTTAAGTGGCACCTTAATGCCCTCTACCTATTTACTAATATCCCCACTTTTGTAGAACTTTTGCGATACCTCCATCTGGCATCATGTATAACCACAAAAAAGGTTAACAGTCAACTAGATAAAGCAGAAATCTGATATAAATATATATTCAGATTTAGTTTGAAAAAAATTAATTATTTAATAAACTGATTTTTGCATTATGACATGCTCATAATTAGTGCAAATAAAGAAAAGTACTAACACTAAATCTTCCCAAACATGGACCCCACTTAACCCTATATATTCAGCAACCTTAAAAATCCAGTAACCCTAAATCTCCTTTAGCACTTTCATATTCTACAGGCTGGCAGAGCAATATGGCAGTTGTAGTTCTAAAACAACTCGGAATCGATCTTTTGCCAACCCTGTCCTAACCGTTACCCAAGCCTAACCTTCTGCCATTGGCTCACGCATTCTGTCTGCTGGTGTCACTGCTGAGTACAGAGAGCTATGTATGTGCTCTGAAATATGTGAGTGAAGAATTATATAATGTATCAATGCAGGCTGTCACAAAGTGATCGGTTTCGTCTACCAGACAGATCACACTCAAGAATCAGCACAGGGCTCAGTGCAGTTTTTAGAACCTGTACAAAATTATAAAAATTATGCATTTCAAACATTCATAACTAGCAGTACAACAAAAATGACAAGACAGTGGACTTTAAAATAAACTTTCACTGTGATAATTAATGGAAAGTTGCACAATTAGGAAAAATAAAAAAACAAGTTTTATGCACATTTAAATATATTTTAGCACAAACTCCTCTTGGTAAAAACTCTGTCCAGAAACATTGTTACTTAAATATGATATGGTTGTGTATAAAACACGCATGTCCCTGGGCAGGGGCTGGGGGGACTACAGCCCCTAGTATTTTTTTTTTTTTTAGCTCTGAATCTCTTTGGCCCGGTGGGTGAATGCTGAACCTGGAATCTCTGTGAGGTTACTCTTGTCAAGTTTAGAAAGAGATGCGGTGAGTATGATACACTATCTAGTTCCTGTGTCTCCATCACTGACTCAATGAGAAGCTAATGCAGACGTGTTATCAATAGTGATGTCGCGAACCGTTCGCGAACTTGCCGCGAACGGTTCGCCACGAACTCCGATCAGCTGACACATCCCTGCCAATCTCCGGCAGACCCTCCCTCCCAGACCCTTCTACTTCCTGGACAGCATCCATGTTGATGGCAGCTTCAACATGGATGCTGTCCAGGAGGTGGGAGGGTCTGGGAGGGAGGGTCTGCCGGAGATTGGCATGGATGTGTCAGCTGACGGGAGTTCGCCGCGAACGGTTCGCGGCAAAAGGTTTGCGGCAAGTTCGCGAACGGTTCGCGACATCACTAGTTATCAACCATTCACAAACAGGTTGACACAGAATTGAGGGATTGTGGCAGCATGCTGGCACCATAACCACTACAGCAGGCTGTGGGGCTTAATGTGCTAAGAATGTCCCTCTAACGCGTTTATATCAGTGCCATATTTGCATTCTCTTTTCCTGGTAATGTGCTACAGAGCAGTTTATTTACTAGACAGTAAATTGTAAATAAATTGAAAGCAGACTTGCAAAATTCTGGTTAAAATTGCCAGATTGAAAAAAAATGATATCCCCAAATGAGCTATAGTCACAGCACATCAATGTTATGTTATATTTTGTCACGATTTCCTGTATGCAAATTTAAAAATGGAAAGAAGTTTTTTTTTTTTTTAATAAAAAGAAAATGTTAATAAAATAACTTGTAATTTTAGTTGATACTAATAACAACGAAACAGATTAGGTATAATCAAAAACAATGTTGATTTCCAATTGATCCTGATATTTAATGAAAAATTTAAATGAGAGGAAGATTAGAACTGAGAAGACGTCTGTCATTAATAAGTTGCTGGCTACAACCCCCACTACAACCAGCCAATCACCGGTATTTATTGGCCAGCTGGAGGGCAGAGAGCTGCCTTTTTCTGATGTAGAATATCCTGTTTTCTGTCCAACTACATTCCCCACCCCTCCCCCCTCTGTCCAATTGGTTGGTCACAGTGTTAAAGCACAGACAGTTCAAAAAGGTATTTGTAACAGCTGCTAAAATCAGTGCAAATGTAATTTTCTTAGCATTACACAATGCAATTATTAGTTTTGTCACTTATGAAAAAACACCAATGTAAATGAATCATTTTAATATTTTTGTTAAACTATATTTGATCAGGTTAATGATATTTCAGTTAATTTAAAGCTTTTGGCAGGTATTATATCCCAATACCAAAGGTATAACTCCCTCGGGGCAGGAGTCTCCAAACTTTAACTTTAAAGCTCCATCTGTCCCAGCTTTGTCACTGTCCTGCTGGAATAGAGATGGGATATGCCTAGATCTCAGACAGCTGGAGTGCCTTAAAGGAACCCTCTAAGCACTATTAGAATGAAATTGTTATGGTGCGAGTAGGTCCCAAGTGCAAGATCACCTTTAGGGGTTAAACTATTAATGAACGGTCTAACGCCAAAGTCTTTAGTCCGGCGCCCATCAGCTTTTCTTCATTGTTGTCTCGGACTCCTTTCAAAAAAATGAAATGTAAAAAGGTACGTACCGTTTTCACTCCATTTTGTGAATAGGAAGCATGAGATAAGTTGAGTGCAACAGCAGAAGCTCTCAGTGGCATGCTGTCCGAGGGTGGCTGAGTGAAGCCTTGAACTCAAAAAGAAATGTAGGGGAAGTGATGAAGGGCACCACACTGAATATTTGGGGTTAAACTACTTGCTAACGTTTAACCCTGAAAATAAACTAGTTACTGGGACCGGTTGGCATTATAACAACGTCATTCTGATTAAGTTGTTATGGTGCCTGGAGTGTCCCTTTAAGGACTGGGTTAGGAATCACTGCCCTAGGGGACCTTTTAGACCCAGATCAACTATTAAATCAAAAGACACCTTAAGTTCCCCAATCTAAACTGTAAGAGTTCATGCAATATGTAAAATGGATTTCCTATGATGTATGTGAAATCTCTAAATGTTCACACATACTATACCCATAACTGGATTTACTTGCCTGACCCTCTAGATACATTCTAGTAAAATGTATAGTATCACATAATGAATAAATACTCTGTGTACCAGACTTGTTTCAACCAGGAGAAGTTAATAACACCTGTTGGTAGAGGGTGTTGCAGATTTTTTTTCTGTGGAAATGGTTCTTTGCTACAGGGTACACAATTTGTAGTGTCTCTGAACCCTTTTCCAAGTACTTATAGTAACTTGCTTTTCCGGCTGAGTAACTCGACTTTCACCTTAAATTCAACAGTTTCCATTATCAGTGTGTTTTTTCTTACATGACTCTTAACCTTTTGCAATCAAACTTATACTGAATTACCCCATGACCACTCCAGAGGCACCAAGCATTGCTGGTACCTACTTATGGTTACCAGATGGAACATTTGTAAGAGAGAACTTTTTGACATAAAATTAGGCACGTTTGGAGGGAAAAAATTAGTTTTTTTACATTCTTTAAATTCAATACTAGTTTTAATTACACTAAACCAATTAAGTCAACTGTGAAAGCCCAGTAAACTCTTGGCATTTGCTGCAGCGTCTGTTCTTTAACATTGGAGAGAGTGTGTGTGTGTGCATAGGTGTCAGTGAGTGTGTATGTATGTGTAGAGGTGTCAGAGAGTGTGTGTGTGTGTAGGTGTGAGTGATTGTGTATGTATGTGTATAGGTGTCAAATAGTATCTGTATAGGTGTCAAAGAGTGTATGTGTACAGGTGTCAGTGAGTGTGTATGAATTTGTTAGTGAGTGTGTATGTATGTGTATAAGTGTCAGATAGTGTATATGTATGTGTATGGGTGTTTATAGGGATCAGAGAGTGTGTGTGTATATGTATAGGTGTCAGTTAGTGTGTATTAGGTGTCAGTGTGTATGTATGTGATAGGTGTCAGAGAGTCTGTGTATATGTATAGGTGCCAATGAGTGTGTGTGTATGTGTAAAGGTTTCAGAGTGTATGTGTATAGGTGTCAGAGAGTGTGTGTTTTTGTGTATATGTGTCAGTGAGTGTATATGTATGTGTGTAGGTGTCAGAGAGTGTGTGCATATGTATAGGTGTCAGTTTGCATGTGTGTGTTAGGTGTCAAAGAGTGTGTGTATGTGTATAGGTGTCACTTAGTGCTAAGTGTCAGAAAGTGTGTGTATGTGTATAGGTGTGAGATAGTGAGTGTGTACTTGAATAGGTGTCAGTGAGTGTGTGTATGTATGTGTATAGTTGTCAGTGTGTATTGCTGTCAGGGAGTGTGTATGTATGTGTATAGATGCCAATGAGTGTGTTTTTTTGTATATGGTGTCAGTGAGTGTGTATGTATGTGTATAAGTGTCTGAGAGTGTGTGTATGTGCATAGGTGTCAGTCAGTGAATGTGTATGAATAAGTGTCAGATAGTATGTGTGTGTATAGGTGTCAGTGAGTGTGTATGTATGTGTTAGGTGTCAGAGAGTGTGTGTATAGGTGTCAGAGTGTGTGTGTGTGTATACGTATAGGTGTCAGAGGGTGTATGTGTATAGGAGTCAGAGTATGCATGTGTGTATATGTATCAGTGAGTGTGTATGTATGTATGCGTATAAGTGTAAGATAGTGTATGTATGTGTATAGGTGTCAGTGAGTGTGTTTAGGTGTCAGAGAGTGTGTATTTAGGTGAAAGTATAAATATGTACAGTGTCTCCTTAACTATTGACAGTGTTAGTAATTTATGACATGTGAGTTTAAAAAGTACATCAAAAGGAATAAAAGTTTTACTTTTACATTTTGTGATACCTCTTTTTTAATTGCTATTCCTTGTAGTGTCCCTTGTCTCTAGTTTAAGACAGTGTTAATTTTGGCAACAAATTAAAATTTAGTTTTTTAGTCATCTAAATTGTTTTAGTCGATTATATCTCCAGTAGATTTCCATCGACACGACTAAAATCTAATGTGTTTAGTTGAAGCCTCTATTTGTCTCTGTTGCCCCTTCCCCAGCCCCTCCATGTCTCTGTCACGGTGCCTGATCAGCACCACGATGTGACTGCATCTGATCGGTGTGGTCACACTAAAGGAGGCAGAGGTTGCACACACGTTCTGGGGCCATGGGACCCAAATTAGCAAAAAGCAGGGTTTACTGGGTTATTTAAACCCAAACCTGCTGTTGTTCAGTGTCCTGTCGTGGTTTCCATCCTGTTGGTTATCCGAGAGTGCGTTCCTATTACTGGTATTTGCAGGGCCGTCTTTAACGCGGGGCAAACGGGGCAGCTGCCCCGGGCCCAGTTGCTCCTGGGGGGCCCAGAGCAGCTGCTCCGTGGGCCCCGCGATTTGCGCATCCCCTATGGACCGGGCGTTGCGGCTCCTGCACACTGAGGAGGGTCCCCAGGTGTCTCATGCACTAATGGTCACCCGGGCAGCATGTGTCAGCAGGGGCCCGGTTGGGCGCTGTGGCGCTTAAACCACGTGACCGGGCCCCTTCCTGTTCTGCAGCCGGCTGGGAGGAAGTGACGTCACTTCTTCCCATCGGAGATAATGGGCGCGCGGGAGGAGGAAGGCAGGGAGGAGGGGAGTTCCAGAGGACTAGGGAAACCACCCTCCTGGTAAAGGTAAGAACCTGGAGGGTGGCTAAATGTATGTCAGTAGGTCTGTGTGTGTGTACGTCAGTGTGTGTGTGTCAGTATGTCTGTGTGTATGACAGTATGTCTGTGTGTGTGTCTATAAGTATGTATCTGTGTGTGTATGTTTGTGTCAGTATGTCTGCCAGTATATATTTGTGTGTCAGTGTATGTGTGTGTCAGTATGTATCTGTGAATGTTTTAATGTCTGTCTGTGTGTATGTGCCAGTACGTCTGTGTGTGTGTGTCAACATGTCTGTGTGTGTATGTATGTCTGTGTGTGTGTATGTGTGTGTCAGTAGGCCTGTGTGTGTCAGTATGTCTGTCAGTGTATATGTCTGTGTGTGTATGTATGTATGTGTGTGTGTTTGTGTCAGTATGTCTACCAGGATATATTTGTGTGTCAGTGTATGTGTGTGTCAGAATGTATCTGTGAATGTTTTAATGTCTGTCCATGTGTATGTGCCAGTACGTCTGTCTGTGTGTATGTCAGTATGTCTGTGTGTGTGTTTCAGCATGTCTGTGTGTGTCAGTATGTCTGTGTGTGTGTGTATGTGTTTGTCAGTAGGCCTGTGTGTGTGTCATATGTCTGTCAGTGTATGTGTCTGTGTGTGTATGTATCAATATGTCTGCCAGGATATATTTGTATGTCAGTGTATGTGTGTCAGT